GCTCAAGATGTAGGAAAGGGGATCCAGGCTCTTAAAATATCTTGGAATTGCTGCTTAAGAGTCAACCCACAATCGCACACTCACCGGCTGCCGAAGCTTGATTTCTGATTAGTCCAAACCCTCTTACCATGTATTGCCTACATATGCCTGCATAGCCTCTCTGAAACAGAATCGAGTGGAATTCTGAGCCCCTTTGGAAACCCGTAAACCCTAAACCCTAAGCCGCGCAAACACTGTTCCAGACTGCGGCCAGGCCACATACTTCCGACCCAATAGCTTTGTGACCTGCACTTGGCGCTTTTGGATGCCATGGCATTAGGTTGCATCACTTTCAGCTTCAGGGTGTGTAAATTTGGGTGCTAGAATTTTGGTGTGTTTAAGGCTGAATGGACCTCCCTACGTTGTCCTTGGGCTTGCTGTCACCCATGAGACATCAGCTTCGCGATCGTGAGCATGTTCTGAGGCGGATGCCTCCTTCTGTGGGGTCCCTACACGAGACATCTTGCAATCATTTGACATCATTTGAGGAAGGAACCCTTTGAGACAGAATGTGTTGCGTATTCCCCTTCGCGAGACCACTGTGCCGAAAGCTGAAACCTAAATCACTTAGCCAAAAAGTCAAGGATGATGCCTCCATCCAAAACGGGTCCGCAAGTATGGGAGCTCTCGCATGATGCACACAAACATTGCTCCAGTGATGGGCGAAGCCTCTTTGGGGTTCAAGGCAACAATCATCAAAAATCTTTGAGCACCCCGCGGACTACCCTGCCTGAATGACAAGACTTACAACCCATTATCTGATCAGGCCCCAAGAATGCAAAGGTGCCAGAGCTAAATGCACAAAGCTTATTCTTTCAATCTTGCAGGATTGTTGAGATGCATGTTATGTCTCGAAGCCTTCCGCTCTGTCCGCAGGCGCCGGCGCTCACCGTCCGAGCCACTATCGCTCTCCTCATCCTCTTGCTTTTGAAGGCATTTTTGAGGGATGAAGATTGCCGTGTCTCTTCTATCGTGCCAAGGACTTGATGTTCATGGCCTCTGGGGCGTAGGGCACAACCCACGTGAAGAGAGCATGGATTCTACATTTGCTTTTCACCATGGATCTGCAATCAAGCTTTGCAAGGTTGGCTGTGCCCGAAATACTTCAACATACGACAAAATCTCAACAACAGAATAGTTTCAGTTTCCCAAACCCTGTAACCAAAAGTCGCGCACAGGGTCCTCGGAGAGGTTTGCTTGCTGCATGAAGAGCAACTGGCAGCAGTGCTTATTGGACCAGGCATGGTTGAGAGTCTGAGGTTTGCCCCCTGTTTGTACAGTTCAACCAAGATTCAATGCTTCTCTAAATGTTCTGAGGAAACTTGGGGACCTGGCCGGAACTACAGCTTCACGGACATCAATGTCCCCATGCAGATTCCTTAATTGCGTGGAGCATGGGGCAGGCGAGCGGGGGTTCTGCCATACGTTTCTTTGGTTGGCAGCTTTCAAAATTTCGCATGGTCTGCGACGAAGAGGGGGTGCAATGAGACGTTGTTAGCGATCTCCAAAAACAAATCCCAGCATCCAAGGGCATCCCACCACTCTGACAGAGTCCTTATGGAGCTGTGTTATAAACCCATCCGACTGGGGTATCACAAGAGGCCAGGCCCTGCAGGCCTCGTCCATCTCCTCGACTTTCAACTGTTGGTGTAGGGCCAACCTACCAGTCGTCACGAACACAATGACAACAACCAGCCCCACAACAACTGAGCCACAACTAGTGTTTTGGCTTCCTGTAATATGTGCTGGAGTCCGTGACTTTTCGGTGAATAAGAAGATGAAACATTACCGAGACTCATCACCGATGGCACGAAAGATGAATCACTACTCCGATGAGTTGTTGTCAAAAAATATGCCAAAACTCCTGGTATGATTCAATAAGGCCCATGAAATCCTATCAAACCTCCGCGCAATGTAGCAAACACGATTGCTAAAGACGTTCCACCTGCAAAGTCTAACACCGGCCTCTATTGATCCAAAACCGTCCGAACAAAACGACCCCCGGTCTGCATGACTACGTCTCTGTCAAGCTGACACTGTGCAGCGCGCTGCTACTTACTCGACGAAGTAAGCTCCGCTTGTCCCAAGCCGTTGACATACGATCCCCGTTTATGTGCTATAACAGAAGGAAGTGTGCCGGGTTGGACCGTGCGGGGACATGCAAAACCGTCCTGGCCTATGCTGCGCCTCCTCCACAGTGGAGGCGAAAAGGCGCCAACTGGAGAAAGTCTCTTTGTTCTAGAGATGGTCCAGGGCTCGAGGTTTGAGGTGAAAGGGAATTTGGGTACGGGCAAATTCAAATTTTAGGTGGTGAAACCCTAAAGACTGCGACACTGACTGCCAACAGCCCATTCTGTCATTTGAGGTCGATTTCACATGCGCCTCATCCAGAGTCATCTACTCAGCCTGAACCGATGCATAAGCAGACTTTGCGTTTCTCGCGATGCCTGATGCCAAAGCAATCCCTGAGTATCCCAAGCTGGCTCCCTGCCCCAATCCGAACACTTTATCTTTGTGCCAGGCCGTTCATGCCTTCAACCCCTGACCCCAAGCCCCTGCACTCTCTACATGCCTTCTCATGTCCGAACTCCCTGAGCTTAAAATGCCGACCGTTCTACCAAAAGAGGGCCACTATGCAGGAACTTGAAATCCTGCAGGGTCCAACATGCTGGCAGGCCTGAAATCAATTGGCACGTCCGAATCATTCCGGATGGTGACTACGCCATGGGACTCCAGTCCAACGTAGGTGTCCTCCAAAAGAGCTCATGGAGGATCCAGACGGGTTGGAATCATGATGCACACACATTGCAGTTGCAGTGAGATTCTAAGGTTGGAAGTACGGGCTCCTCAAAACCCACCGCCAACCTTGTAATCTTGTTAAGCGACTCACGATAGGAGAGGGAGGAGCCAAGGAGGCTCCACATCTCCCGTTTGACTAGCACGGTCCTCAATGAGCAGTAGGCTGTGAGACAGTGAAACCTGCGATCAAACAACAACTTGGGAGCTTTTGCTTCCAATGCAAGGGTGGGCAGGGGCTTAGTGTTAAAGGTTTGGGATTTGTAGGAGCTTTCCCAACGCCATTCGACTTCGAGGCTTCTGGCTTAAAACTTTGCACGCAGAGAGGTTTGCGAGCAATCCTCCTCGTAGCCTGTGGTCGCGGGCACTTGACACCAGATCGAACAACTGCTAGAAATGCCTACCTCGTCAACCTCACACATTCAGTTGGTAGGGGTAGGGAACTCCCATAAGCATGTGCAGCCCATGCCTCTCAAACCTGTGCCCGCCACTGCGCGGTGGTTGAAACTCACAGCTCCTTTCCTGCTACTTGGTTCTGGCACAAAGCGGTCTCCCCCAAAATCAGAAAGGATGCATATTAGCTTAGCCCTTTCCTGGGCGCATGTGTGCTGGAACTTATTGGCATACAAGCTGATCACTTCAATAAGCTCACCAAAGATGAACTACTGCAAAACACGCAGAACCCACAGCCACGTACCGAAAGCCTCTGCATTGCATGCTCCTCCTCGGAGAGTGGCAACTGCCTCCATCTCTCCGTACCTTGGCAATGGGAAGATCCCCAGGACATTTTCGAATGAGATAGCTTCAAAACCTTTGAAATGAAGATGATGAAACGGGCTTCGTGCGTGTCTGAGCGAGATGCTGTTCAGATCAGCTTTTCAGCATGCATAGAGACATGCAAAATAGCATCCCAAACCTGCTGCAGCTTATGCCCACATACCCCGAGGCGAAGAAAGCACAACAGCACGAATGAAGTGAGGAACACACTGGGCCCCCTGGCTTGATATGCAGATCGCACTCATAGCGCTCCGCCCGAGGCGGGGTGAAAAAGATGGACACCTGCGAGCGTCCCGTGCAGCCCTAAGGGCTTTGCAGTCTTTATGCTTATGCTCCAGTAGACCTCAGGTTATGCAACTTCAGGCATAAGATGAGAGGTAAAGCGCGACCCATTTCCGTGGGACACGCAAAATAGATCCGGAAAGAAAACATGCATGGCCACGGCTAGCAATAAAGCTGTGGCTCAGGGATTCAAATATAATGCAGTCAGCTATCGCACCTCAGATCCTTCCGCCAAGAATGCAATCCTTCAGACTTCCTTCATCTCACTGGTCTTACGTAGTATGGAATAAGGGAATATATCATTTCGGGATTAATATGGGGATTAAGCATTCCCATATTCCCTATTACGAACCAGTGAGTCATGTCCTGCACCAGAGCCAGAAACCCTAAATCTCCTAATACCTTCGAAGCGCGCTTCTTGAAACCCTGCTATACTAGTAGTGGCTGGCACAAACAGCCTGGCAGGCAGCGCCCTCGTCTAGGAAGCCGTCCGGCACTTCGATGCTGGCAGCAGGGGTTGGAGGTGAGTGGCTGCAGAGCGGTTCGCAGTCAGTTGTTCATATTACTTAAAGGTGGAGTTTAGGATTGAAATTTAATGGCTTTGGGGGTGAGGGTCAATGCCAGTTTTGAAGGTCTTGGGCTTGAGTCTAGGTCTTGGCGGTTCTGATGCTGCAGTTGGAGGCGGGATCCGAGTCTCAAACGAGTTCCAAAAACAACTGTGCAACCCACCGTGAAAGTAAGCCCTTACCAGACAGAGAGTCTCAAGCGTCAAATCTAGTGTAGTGCCAGCCAGATGGCAAAACGACGATGCATCCCGCCCAAGTGGTGTGTGGGATCCCGAAACCTAGGATCTGATGTGCGTTCAAGGTCTGGCCAGGTATTGCCTGCAATACAGCCCAGTAAAACCCCGAAATGGTGCGGTGAATCCACAAGAAACCAACATCTAGTTTACTTCTACGTTGACTGAGCACTGCCTTTCTGCGAGCATCTCACAAGTCGCATTGGAAAGCACGTCCAAGCCGAAGAAAGGCCTAGCTTTGCCAGGTTCCAGAACTCCTGACCAGCAGCCTGAAGTCCAGCATCGTCAACCTGGCAAGGTCATCAGGTTACGCAACCAATGTGAAGCCGCAACCAGGCCGCTTTGCTCCCTCCAGCACCACTGGGCGCCACTCCTCTCCTGGCAATTGCTCCTTCGATGAAAATCTGAACTGCCAGGGCACGCTGCTGCCGCTGTCCAACTCCCTGCAGATGCGGGAAATTGTTCTTGGGTTCAGTCCCGTGTACGCAGCTGCCGCCTTCAATGACTCAAACTCGAGCCAGAGCTTCTGGTCTCCCAAAAAGCGACCCTGCACTGGTTTTCGGTTTCTTGATTTGGGCGTTCGCTGCAAGAGGGCATGCCGGATGCTCTCAGAAGGCGTAACATACTCCAGGTTCTCCATATGATTGTTCCCTCGATTACGATCCTTGTGGTTGACCTGGCAGTCCAGCGAATTTGGCTCGCCGAGAAAGGTGGCTGCGACTAGGCGATGCACGAGAAAACCCCTAGCTTCCCTCACTACCAGGTGGTAGCCGTCGGCCATGCGCGTGCCCCAGCTAGCGTCATCAAAATGACGTCTGGTTTGCGAAACCCTGCCGAGGCTGCTCACCATGAGATTTGTGATCGGGCGAGACACTCCTGGATATCGAGCAGGCTGCCAGATCTCATCGCGTGGCAGGTCCAGGGTAGGGGCTGACTTGAACTCGTACCACACCCCATTTGCCAAGGATCTCCTCATGACACCGCGGCAACAATGAGAAACTGCAGCTCGCCACACACCCAACAACCTGGCAGCTTCGGCTTGGGAATCGCACCGTGTCCAAGCCTCTTCCCCACATGGCCGCCACAACACTGCTCTGCCCTTGGCACCACCTTTCCGCCGACTGGGATTGGTGCAGTGGGAGTGCTTCTGATTTTCTGCGTTGGATACGTACTGCAGATTCGTGACATGGTTGTTTGCACGGTCGTTATCCGTGTGATTCACCTGCCAGCAGCTGGGATCTGATGGAGGATCCAGAAATGCAGCAGCCACTAGGCGATGAACAAGGCACAGCTTCTTCCCAATAGATACGGCGCGATAGCCTGCGCCAGTCAAGGTCCCATAGCTGACAATGCCTCCTCTGGTCTTGACACGGCCATGAGAGCTGACGTGCCAACCAGTGGAGCTACAACGCTCCTGCAACAGGATGCAGCCCAACAGCCGCTGAGGAATGCCATATCGGGTTGCGAAGACGCCGCGGGCTGAACCTATCTGCAGCATGTTCTTTGAGCAGCATGCCTGAGGCCTCTCATGAACGCTTGCCTTGTGAGATTTGCCGAAACCTCTCGGCACACAGGCCAACATCACAGGCCGTCTGAAAAGACAACCCTCACCATCTTGATGCTTTAAATTAAAAACAAAACCATATGACGGTATGCTGAGTTGCTCAAGCAGCGTAACTGCCAAGTCCAGCTTTTTGGGAAAATCAAGCCTGTGGTCCTTCTGACTCTGTTTATGTGCCGCCAGTAATGTGGAGCTGTGCGTCTTCCATGCCACAGTCTTGAACCCCATTGCAACTGCAGAGCATGCGAAGGGCTCAGCTCGCGGAATTTGCCGGCTTCTTGGCTCCCTCAAGCACTACCACGCGCCACTCTTCTCCAGGAAGCTGCGCTTCGACCTTGAACTTGAACTCCCAGGATGTGCTGCGGCCAGTGTCCAGCCCTCTGCAAATTCTGGAGACTCTGTGGTATTTCACCCCTGTGTGTGCTGCTGCAGCCTTGACGGACTCAAAATTCTGCCATGGTCCCTTTGAGCAGGGTGTAGTCGAACGAGCTTGCACAGACTTGCAGTTAGGTACCTTGCGCACATCTCTAACGCCATGCCGCCAGGAGTGCTTTACGTTCTGTGACGCAGTGAGATATTCCAAGTTATGCACGTGGTTATTCCCTTTATCAGAATCTTTGTGGTTGACCTGATCGTCTAGACACGCCGGCTGACCAAGAAAGGTCGCAGCAACAAGCCGATGAACAAGCATGTGCATGCTTCCCCGTGCGACGACATAGTATCCGGCTCGCGTTCGTGTTCCGAAATGGGCGTTCTCAAAGCCATGCCTCATCTGCGAGATCCGTCCATGGTTACTAACAGCCAGATTAAAAATATTTGAAGGCTCCCCTGGATATCGAGCAGGCTTCCAAATCTCGCCTGGGAGCGGTGCCAGTCTTTCGGCAGCATCTCTAAACTCATACCATGTGCCATTGCCACGACATGTCCTCCTCTTGCCAATACAACACTGCGAGATCCCTTTGCGCGAAATACACAGCAGCCTTGCAGCTTCTGACTGCGTGTTGCAGAAGGTCCATGCCCCTTCTCCCACACGTCGCCACAGGACGCTTTTGCCCATCTTGGAAGCACCAGACTCCCTGCTGAAGTCGTTAGCATGGGAATGTCGCGAATTCTCTGATTGTGTTACATACTGGAGGTTTGCCACACGATTGTTTGCGCGGTCCCTATCCACATGGTTTACCTGCCAGCAGTCTGAGCCTGGCGGAGCACTCAGAAATGCAGCGGCCACGAGCCGATGCACATAGTAAGTCTGCCCTCTGATGCAGACTGCGCGGTATCCTGAAGCATGATGAGATCCGAAACTGATGATGCCTGTGGAACTTTGGACGCGTCCATGGGAGCTTACTTGCCAACTTGTACTCCATCGCACTCGCAGCACATCCCTTGCGCCCCACAGCCTAGAATAGCTAGCAAACCACCACATGTTTGGACCAAACTAAAGCTTGACCGCGTTGGATGAGGCCTTGCTTAGTTGGGCCCCAGTTGAAATTCAAAAGCATCCCACTCTTCAACTTGCCCGAGCGCCTGAAGGGCGCGGTGGTCTTGCAAAGCAGCTTGGAGGCACGGTCGCCCACGTTGCGCACGAGCACGGTGCGCTCGCACTGCGCGGGGAGGGCAGATGAGGATGGTAAAAGGTGTACAACCAAACAAAATGATAGCATGGAGTATCGTGCGCCAGAAATCTAGTATTTGTAGTTTAGACTGTACGAAGCACAGAACGACAAGGATAATAGAAGTTCGGGCTGCGTGGATTCCAACGTCAGCAAACAAGATCTGAGGCTGAAGAGCGCTGCAAGCCTGGGCCCATCAAGCAAGGAAGCTAAGGAATGTTTCGCTTGCAGCCATAAGGTCAGGTACGAAGCCCAGACCTGCACCCTACTGGCAAGTTGTCTTGGACCGTCCCTTGTGCGGTTGCTGAGCCTTGTGGCCCACCATGCACTCATCGCCGAAGTCTACTACCTAGGCTTGTCATGACGTCCGTGCTACAGCTCGCAGCTTTCCAAGTTCACAACCATGCAGGGAAGCTCTTCAACATCCAGGACTCAAGCATTCAGGGACCTTGGACCTAGAACCGTGAAGCCCCTACCTCAAACCCCAAAAATGAGGGCCCAGGCGTCTGGAAAATCCAGCAAAGCAGAGCCGCCGGAGGCCCGGACCGGGACACTGCGGCAGCGAGGCTTCTTCAGGTTCTATGGGGAATTGTATTGGGGCTATATTGGGGCTGTATTGGGGGTATATTGGGGTAATATTGGGGTTATATTGGGTGTATGTTGGTGTTATATTGGGTGTATATTGGGGTAGTATCAGGGATTTATGGGGATAATGAAAAAGAAAATGGAAAGTACTATGTAGGGTGTAGGTTTAGGGTTGGAGCTGTGGGCTTGCCAAAGCCCTTCCATGACAAATTCGAGACATGGAACTTGCTGGGTTGACCCCGTTTTTCTCCTGCTTAGCTGAGGCAAGCCCCCCGAAGAATATATCGTCATCGCAGAACTTCCTGTGTAAACCCACTGCCTGGATTTTCCCTTCTTTTACATGGAAAGAGGCAACGAATCCCCTTCTCATGCCCAAAGTACTTGGAGGCCCATGGGACTGAGTAACTATTTATAACTGGGCTTATAACTCTACTTATAAGTGGGGTAACCCCTATTAGCCCATTTAGGGGGATTATAAGTAAGGTTACAAGCCCAGTTACAAGTAGTTACGAAGTCCCTTGGGTTTTCAAGTAGGTCCCCTCAGCTCCGGCCTGAACTCTTCCCGTTCCGTTACCTCGGCTGCAAACAGATGAGCTATAATCTAAACTCCTAGTATCCCCCTTAATAACACCTATAGTAGTCCCCTATACAGTCCCCCATATAACCCTCTCTTTAGGAGTTTAGACTATGGCTCAGATGAGAGGAGCTCCGGGAGATTTGAGGACTCGAAATCTCTGGCAAAGCTCGGTTGCCAGGAGCTTCCTGTTGCCAAAATCTACCGCCATCCTGACCACCTTCAATCTATTTGGTTGCTTGATCATGTACGACCTGAGAGGTATAATTACGACGCAGGTGGAACTGGTAAAGGGCCATTGGTTGGAGAATCCCAAATAACAACATGCTCTCCGCTCACTGCGAGGCCTTTGAAGGGAATCTGAGGCCCTGGCGACTTTGAGGTCGTAGCTGTAGTCTAACCTGTCAAGTTGCTTGCGCTGAAGAGCCCAATCAAGTACGGCCTGCGAGCCCCGGAAGTGGTTTCTTCGGCTGCTCCTTTGAAGCAAGCATGCAAAAATCATCTGTGCGTTCATAGAAATATCCAAATCTGCGCCTGAACATCCCATCGGTAAATGATGCACCCTTAACCCTAAACCTCAACTCTGAAGCCCAAACCCTCCCGTCTCAATGCCACCCCAGCGGACGAGGCCTGGCATCAGGCTTGAAGCGAACTACGTAGGAGACCTCCATGCCCGGAGCCACCTGCGAGGTCTGTCTTGGCAGGAAAACTGTCTAAGCAGTAATGTGCAAAGTCTTAGATAGCACGGTATGAACCCTTCCTGGCTCCATCCATTTGTTTGCGACGTGTTTTCTCTTCTTGAAAAAAGTGCAAGGAAATCAGACAGTTCGTCATACGAAGCCGGGCATTGCGCAGGAACCTCACCTTTCTGCTCCAAAACTCTGATACCCTGAGATCTTGCTCCCTCCACCATGATCTCGAAGCGTAGAGCCTATCTCACAATCCCTGAAACCCGCAATGATGATGCAAATCGCTGAAATCCTGCCTATCATAGGTACTTGCATCCTGCTTACACACCGTCACGTCCGATCCATCCTCCAACAGCTAGGACTAGGGGACCACTCCGGCCCAAAGCCTGCAGATCTTCCTGGGTCGCTGTTAAGGAACTGAAAATGATATACTCCTGTTGCTTACTATATACCCATATAGTGGTAACATAAACCCTAAACCCTAATCCTAAACCCTACATCCTAAACCCTAAACCCTAATCCCTAAACCCTAAACTCTAATCCCTAAACCAAAAACCCTTAAATTTCAACTGCCTGAACTGCAACCCAGAAGCCTGCAGGTTTTCCCCGAAAGGCCCAGCCTTGTCTCTGCCGACGTCCGTCGTTGCTATCTCGCCGCTTTTGGCTACACGCCGGCCGGGCAGAAGCCTTGCAGCTGCCAGGGGTGGTTCCGGAGTCTCAGTTTATAGGGCTTAGGACTTTAGGGTTTTAGGGTTTGGAGCATAAGTCTCAAAGATGTTACAGTCCATGTACAGCCTTAGGGTCCCTCGGGCCCCGCATTTTCAGAAGCTTCCATACAGATGCTTCAGCCTCTGCACACGCGTCTGGAATCAATGGAGGATCAGGGTGCCCAGGCAGAAGCGCTCTATCGTTCCGTTTCACCACAATCTTTTAAACTGCCGACGCTACCAATACTCATTCTGTGTTGATATGCTTTCGAGCGTTTTTCGAATTCAAAGTAAAGATGCGCACATGCAAATATGAGACTGGCATGGTTCCAGACCCAAGTTGTTCATGCAAAGCTTCTGCCCATGCAGGGGGCTACCACGATCTCCAAGAAGGAAGGTAAAGCCTTGAGCCCTTTAGTGTTTATTCCTGAGGGTGTAGGGTTTAGAGCTGCGAAATCTGAGGCCCTAAGCTCCAATACTTGCCATCCTGAGGCTCCAGCTCGAAATACGGACTGTCAGGTGGGCAAACCTGCCATCACAACGGAAGCCGAGGACAGAAACCGCAAAAAACGAAATGAAGTAGGCCAGAAGTCATGCAAAAAAGGCCCATGAAACGAATGAATGCCTGTCGACAGCATACTCCGTCAAGGCTTGTGGGACGGGCCCCCATCAAGCTGTCAAGTGTCGAATTCGGTCTCACGACTTGGATAGGATGTTGTGGTGAATGGCAAAGGGTTAAGGGCTTAGCCTGGCCTTCACCCGCCGGGCGACG